GCCCTTCCTACACCTGGTAACGTGGGATATTTGTGGATTTGCTTTATTTTTCTCCTTCCTGCTGGTGGGTAGGACTGAACATGTCATAGCTTAGAGCTGCCTTTCCCTGGAGCTGCCTGGCACACGTGTGGTGCTGCCAGCCCAGGTGCTGCCAGCCAGGTGCTGCCAGACTTGCCCATCTCATTTCTCACCCCTGCTTGTCCTGTGCTTTCTTTCAGACCATTTCAATTGTCTACATAGTGACAGCCTTTGTGGGAGTTGAGGCCTGGTATGCACCTTTCCTGTTTAATTTCTTATATAGAGACCTATTCACTGCAATGATTATTGGTAAGAAACTCCATGTTGAAGCCTGTCTTTTAAACTTCACCTTTTTCCCAAACCCCCTGCTAATGACCTGCTAACACTGCTCTGTTTGCTGCCCCCGGGCTGTTGTTGAAGTGACTAATTGAGGGTGTTCTCACAGCCTGAAAATCTTTCCCAGGATTTCAAAACAGGGTTGTCTCCTGCAGAGTTATTTTGGAGAACTTAACTCTGCTCTGCCTGGGCTGACTTCACTCCAGCCAAGCTTAGTTAGTCCTCAGTGAGAGCCTGGGGGTAAAACCAGTGTGGTAAACCCAGAGTTTCCAGGGCATAAAGCCCAATGTGCAGGGGGTGGTGGGACCTGGCTCTCAGTGGAGCCTCCCCAGCCTTGGGCTGGTTTGGAGGGGTCAGGACAATTTTGTTTTGCTGCTCTGGGGCTCCCTCTCACCGCAGAGCCCAAACACAGCGTGGGAGGGAGGTTGCAGCCATGGAGGTGGGTGGGAGCTCTGCTGTTTGGGGATCCTGCCCTCCATCCACCCACCTGAACATTACATCATTATAATAATAATAATAATAATAATAAAATTGAAATAAAGGCCCAGCCTCGCTCTCCTGTGATCAGTCAAAATAAGCCACTGCAAAGGGTAGAGCTGAGCTGATGTTGTTCAATGCCATTGCCTAAATCACAAGTTCTGCTCAGTTTATTTTCTGTTTCCCTTCAGGTGTTCTTTGTAATTGCTTAATTTTCAGTTAATTGGTGTGTTAAATGTACTTGCACTTTTATCAGGTAGATGTTCCCAGCTTTCCTTTGACAGCTGTGACTTGACATGAATAATGAATGTGCTTTTCCTATATGAGAAATGGAGCCCAGTTCCCACACGGGGGAGAGGAGCTGGGTTATTAAAGCAGGAATATTTCCAGCTCTGTTCACATGCCTTCTGCTGGATAAACAGGGAAGGAGTTGTGCTGGAATATCATGGATAATGTTGATGGTTCTGATTTAGGTCAGGATTTTTCAGTTATTTGGGTGCTTTGTATCATTTATCCAGTTAAATGACAACTTTTTGGCAACGTGGCCTCTGGAAATGTCTGCACACAGCCAGAGAAACAGCAAATTGTCTTTCTTGTGAAAACTTTTGTGCCCAGCCATGTCATTTGAAGAGTGTGCACTCGTGTCTCATTAGAGTTGTATTATAATTAAGCTTTGTCACTGTTTAAAGCACAAAACCCGAGCTCCTTAATGCAGCCCTTTCAAATGGAAATGTCTTCAACTTACAGCAGACTTTAACTTTTAATTACAGCTCTTGGGCCAGACTTGAGAGCAGCTTCTTCCAAATGTGCTGAGCTATTCCTGGGGCACCAGGAGCTATTTTTGGTGCAGGGAATTTAAAGCAGAGCCCAGCCAGAGCCTTCTGCTCGGGGTGCATGGGGTGTCCCCTGTGCCCTGGGGCACTAACGTGGCACTTTTCTCTTCCAGCCTGTGCCCTCACTGTGACCCTGCCCATGAGCCTGTACAACTTCTACAAGTGAGTTTTGTAGAACCCCAGCAGGGTTTGGGTGGGAAGGGGGTGGAAAATTCATCCAGTGCCACCCCCCTGCCATGGGCAGGGACAGCTCCCACTGTCCCAGGGTGCTTCAGGCTCTGTCCAGCCTGGCCTTGGGCACTGCCAGGGACCCAGGGGCAGCCCCAGCTGCTCTGGGCACCCTGTGCCAGGGTCTCACCACCCGCACAACCAAGAATTCCTAATTCCCAATATCCCATCCATCCCTGCCCTTTGTCAGTGGGAAATTATTCCCCCTTGTCCTATCACTCCAGTCCCTCTGCAGCTCTTGGAGCCTCTTCTGGTACTTACTGCAGGCAGCACCAGGGATTTCTCAGTCATTCCATGCATTTTCCTTTCTTTGCTTGTGTTTCAGGGCCTATAAAAATAACACCTTGAAGCACCACTCTGTGTATGAAATCCTGCTGCCCCTGGTGTCCCCGGTGTTGCTGTTCCTGCTCTGCACCACCTGGATCTTCCTGTCCCCCACTGACATCCTGGAGGTCCAGCCCAGGCTCTTCTATTTCATGGTTGGAACAGCCTTTGCCAACATCTCTGTAAGAGCTTCTGCTTTATGCTTGGGGGACTGGAGAATTGGTTAAATTGAGTTTTCACATGTGCTGTGAGCAGCAAAGTGCTGATGGGAAAGGAGTTCCTGCCTCCTTTTGGGGATAAACTTAAAATGGGA